AACCCGCCTAATACGGACAGCCTGTTAATACGGACACTTTCTATGGCCCCCTCAGTGTAAGTATTAACGGGATTTGACTGTATACACAACCCCAACGTTATAAACTTAGATTCCTCAGCGAATCAGTCGAGCAAACCTTTGAATGCAAACAAAAGATATCAACTTTTTTGTTCAGTTTTCAAGGAAGGGAGCAGTTTTCCCACCCTTACAAAATCTCAAAACTTACATAAACAGTCTAAAGTTGACTAAAACTTTTTCCACTTGCTTTTCACACATTTACATATCTATTTTGTTTCGTTTCTTTCATAAACGGCAATTTCACATGAACACTAGTAATGTTTCTTCAAAAGATGATTAGACTTTACCAAACTTTTTTCCACAAAAAAGAAAGGAAGAAAAAGGGAAAACAAAAACTGGGTAAAAACTCTTACTTTTAAAACATCCCACACAGTGACTCTATCTTCGGAGTCCTTGGTTATAACATGTCTTCTATTCCACAAACTTTTTTCCACAAAAAAGAAAGGAAGAAAAAGGGAAAACAAAAACTGGGTAAAAACTCTTACTTTTAAAACATCCCACACAGTGACTCTATCTTCGGAGTCCTTGGTTATAACATGTCTTCTATTCCTCAAAACATGGAATTTTCTTATGCTAGGTGCCCCTGTATACAAAAGAAAGAACATTTCATTAATTTGACGCTACAAAGTAGGCCGCCGGATTGGGTGACCTGTAGGGTGTCGTGAACATTTAATCTTCAGCATATAACACAGAGACGTGATTCTCGCGCGATCATCACTTCTGTCAGTAACATATGCCAAGACTGCGACTGAGCCTAAAAAAGATTCTGGGAAGCTGCCCACCCTCCCCTCCCCTGACCCAACTTTAACAATAACTTTTTACTCAGGACAAAATGTTGAGTTAAGGGGTGGGTGGGTGGGCAGTTTCCCAGAATCTTATACTAATTCGAAGATAATTATTTAAAGCAAGTAGACGGGATGCCGCAGACACGCCTCACAAATAGAGACCTTTCGATGCGAGGACGAGGACGACGACAAGCACGAGATTTTAATGTTTTTTTCCCGTATTCCTAAAAATGTACAGACCGGAAAGCTTCATTGTACTTTTTTTTTTTCACCAGAAAAGTCAGCGCAGTTTTTTAAGCCCTCTCCCGATCGCCACATGATGAAACTGCTAACTGTTGATAACTTGTTCCCGTCACTACGAAATTCTCGCTAAAACTTGTTGTAGAATGACGACGGCTATCATGTTTTCCCGCCAAAGGACGCTAGTAGCCGCCGGGGGTGGTGCTCATAGAAGGCAGGGGATATTCCCGTGCCCTGGGGCCCGTTTCTCGAAAGTCCCGGTAACTTTTCGGGGCTCGGAAAGTCGTTTTGCGTTTCCCGTGTTGGCATCAAAGACCAAGGCTTCAATAATTTTGAAAATGATACAATAAAACTATCAGTTACCGAAACTGAATTGACTGGTTTGTGAGCCAGGAACTGTACTACCATTCAACAGGTTTTAATTCTAACATTTGCTTTCGGACCCGAAAAGTTACCGGGCCTTTCGAGAAACGGGCCCCTGGCCCTTAATAACAACCCTGCCTAGAAGAAAAGACCACAAAGGTCTTGAAGATGAACTTTGTAAACAAGAGACACCTCGGGCAGGGTGTCGATTTTGGGATGAAGCAAAGCAGAGGAGTTCAGGGGAGGAACCACTTAAGGAGAAAAGTGGACATCACATTGTAACTGGCGTGAAGAAGAAAGGTAGCAAGTGGTCTCGCTAAATTTCCTAATATGTCTAATATATAGGTCCTACCTGGCAATGTTTTTCTGGGCATTGAACAGGTTGGTTGAGGATCTGTATACGATTCATTAACATCCATATTTTCTTGATCATTGATGTAATTGATAGGCTGCCAACAGAAAATACAACTGATTTCAACTTCATCTAATTCTAACAATAAAGTTACAAGAATGAAATGGATACAGATCCTTGTACAGTGTCGCATCATTTGTACTGTTAGAAGACTATAAAACATGTGCCAAGTCATGGGTCACTTATTGGAGGTTAAAAAAAGAACAATGTCCAACCATAACCTCCAAGAAGTGGTTGCAGTCACTCACAAGAGGCTCTCACTATGTGATTTGACTTGGAATTGTTTTTTGCTTTGCAAAGGTTTCTGCTTACAAGAGATGGCTGCACATAGAGGTTTGACTGCATTTTATTTTAGCCCATCATTTTCGTCTTCTCATACACATACAGTATAGAAACCCGATAACTCAAACTCGAACTCCCCGCTAAATCGAAGTATATAAGTCCCAATTTTCTTAGATTTCACCCCACTTTTCAGTCATTTTTACCCGGTTAACTCAAACTCGGATAACTCGAACTAAATTTCCTCTCCCTTGATCAAAATTTAACTAAAATTAACCACGATAACTCGATTTTCGGTTCTTAGTGTAACTCCACTCGGATACCATCTCATAAGCTCTTCTTTTTATGGCTTAGGAGACAGCTCATCAAGGTCACGTTTTTTTGGCGGTTTTTCGCTAACCAGTCTTAAGCTTTTGATTGATCGCACACACTCAAGTTTATGTTTTACAGCCAGCCCTCAAACGTCACATGGATTGATCCTCCTCTAAAGTTTAAAGGGAAGTTAAGAATAGATTTGTGGATTTCTTTGCAGTGGTTCCAAAGTCATTGTCTGAAGTAAATTATAAAAGCATAAATGGGAGCTTCGCTTTTAGCTCTGGCTAACTGATCTACATGTATATATTTTCCTACTTGAGAAAGAGTCAACTTGAATCTGACATGTATTTGCTGTTTACCATTGTATGACTGTAAAACTCTATAATGTTTTAAGTGTCGGCTGAATATTTGACGGAAATCACAGTTATCAACTTGAATAACACTTTTAATAATTGAATTAGAACTTGAGATTTTGGAAAGGTTTGATACACAATAATAACCTTACCCAATTGTTTATTGTAGAATTTGTGGTAGCAACCCATAGAGAATGCGGCTCAGAACAAAGTTCCAACTGTAGAGAATAAGAAAAACACATATACAAACAATACATGAGTAAATAAGGTTGACCTCACATGTAGTTTTTCGTTTGTGTTCAATTGACTCAAACTGTAATTATCAAAAAGGATCGCTATACCCTGATACCAACCACCTGATGTGGTGCAACATGATGTTTTATCCAGTGAACTCAAGAATTCAATGCTCTTTTACAACATATTATAGCAGATGTATAATAGTTCTCATAAAATTAATATTGAAGATAAAGAGCAGGAAAAGTGCAAGAAGGAATCAGGGGGGTGTGGGCAGGAGAAGAGAATGTTTCTCATTAATTTTCTCCCATGGCACTCCAAAGAAACCACCCTGGCAAACAGGCTATAAATTTATGGATTTTACACCCTTTCATCAAATGGTTAAGGTAAGAAAGCTAGAATTTCAGTGTTTCATGAATTTTATTTCTGATCACCTGGGATGGTTTGGGATCATTTGAGATAAATCAGGAGCTTTTTAGTTTTACTCACATACAACTGTCCCATAACTGTCTGCATTGGTCAGAAATCATGTGTGATTAACAGAAATATAACAGCTGTGACCATGATTTGAAATGACGGTGGTAGGTTAATGCAATTAACAGATCAGTCATTTGGCAAAAAATTGTACTTTTTTGTACAAGTACGGCTACCAGTTTAATCAGCTGACTTACATTTAAAACAGGAGCATCTTCAACAAACAACAAAGTTGATGAATCATCCATATTCAAGTCTGTCCACATGACATTTTTGTCCCGCCCGCTAGAATAAAATCCTGTGAAGTTTTCATTTGCACACAATGCCCACACGCCTTCCCCATGAATTCTGTATGTGGTGATACATCTTTGCTGGCCTAATGACCAAAGACGCACAGTACCATCTGAGCTTCCAGACAGACACTACAACATGAAAGATAATGGTAATTAAATTCAGATTTAAATATTTAGTTATCCCCTCCCCTTATCCATTA